AATAATACCTTTTTTATTTTAATTTAATTAAATAAGTAAATGACATGACACTATTAAAAGATCTTATTGATTGTCAGTGTAAAAAAACTTTACACCGATAGTGTATAAGTGATTAACTCCATCTCTATTAAGTACAATTTTTTTAAAAAAATAAATATGAAGGTGACTTGCATAAATAGTTGTTGAAGTTAGAAATTGGATAGTTGGGCTGAAGGGAGAAACAGTAGGCATTAATTAGAGGGTGGGAGTAACTTGAAATAATGTGTTCTTGGTCCGACAACGACCACTTTGAAAAAGAGATGGAGCATGTTGTGTGCGAATCAAACAATGTGCATTTAATGAATGAAGTGGACTATTCACTTACTACCACATGAGTAGGTTACAATGAGTATTTAACAAACACAACTTGCTATTTTTAAATACTTAATTCTACTAGTTTAATTGAAAGAATAATTTTTAATTTTCCTACAATATCATTTTATTAATCCTTTTATATTCTTTTATAACCATCATGGTTCAAAAGTTTTGAAATTCTATATTATTTTATAGCCATTATGTTATACGATTTTGTGAATCTATAGTTCAACTTTTGAAATTATATATTTTTGTTAAAAGTCTGAATAACAAAAATCGTAAATAAATCCATCTCATCTCATAAATGAACCCTTGCTTGTAGCTTAACATCAAACTCTTCTTTTTTTTTTGACAAAATAGTATTTTGTTCGAAAAAATATAAATTACAAAGCAAAAAAAATGAAACAAACTTTTTTTAAAATGGTTGTTCCTCATCGGTTTCGGACAAATTTTCACTTGTTTTGAAATTAACAAGTTTTGATCAGGGGGAGGGGGAGGCAAGTTAAATGATACTAGGAATGATAAATAGATAGATTAAATAATTTTACAGACGGATTATAAAAAAATAATTCATTAATATTTAACTTTATTAAAAATTCACATAAAAATCTAATTCTTTTTTAATTCATTCAAAACAAAAGATTTATTTAACCTATCCATTAATAAATTTTTCATGGATGAATATTCAATTCATCCATACAAATAGTCTTTTAAAATTTCAATTAAATAAACATCTTATATATAATTCAGCGTGTGTTTGGTGTTGCGTTTTAAGAATTGAATTATCAAAATCAATTTTCTAAACATAGAAGCTATTTTTATCAACTTCAGGCAAAATTGATTTTCATCTTTGAAATTGTGTAAAGAAGAAAAAACTAAACATCTATTCAAAGAGAAGAATCACGTTTTTTTGAAGAAAATACGTGTGTTAACTTGATGCAACGCGCATCCAAACACCCTGTCAATAAATTTTATATATATATATATATAAGATT